CTCCTAGCACAGATCATTATTGTAGGAATGTTGTAGGTCCTTGTCTTCCCGGAGCAACTTTCATCCCTCGACCTGCTTGACAAATGTTCATTAATTCCCTTTCCAACAGGTAAGTGGAGTATGAACCCATTTGACAGATGGGTTCATGGAGACAAAGAGCACGGAAGTGGCTCCTCCAAGACCACAAATCCCAGTGAGCAGAACGTTTATTTATTGTGTCGGGCAGATGGTCATGCTGAATTATGAAAGAAGTTATCTGGAGTTGAGTTATGCATCTGCCCAGGGATACAGGAGACCTTCAGCCTCAGTCCCAGCCGTGGGAGTGGAGCATCTCTGGGTGTGGACTTTCCTGGTCTGTGGTGGGACTAGTCCCACACACCCATCTTCCCAGCGTGTCTTCCCTGCCAGCGTGCCAAACCCTGGTGGTCGCTCCCATCTAGAGGTACCTGTGCCTGAAAAGAGCCATGCTGCACTCTGAAGGAGGGATATGTGTGAATCCATTTGCAGAACTAGTCTAAAGTTGTTATTGGATGCTAATGATGTCGGAAATAGCAAAGAAAGCTCATTATTTTTCTTAATCATGTACCATTTCCTTGTATGCTGCTCAATAGTTGAATGAACTCGCTCAAAACAAAATCTAGTCAACTTTAGAAAAAAAATAAAAACTTAAGCAGTTTCAGACCCTATTCCCATGCTTCCAACACTGGCCAATTTTTGTGGGTTTGCAATCACGTTTTCCTTTTTTTTTTTTTTTTTGGCAAATATTTTCATTCCAGGTTGCTGTGGGAAAGACTCCCCACCCAAAGCCGCCAGTAGTAAAACTGAGCAAAAGGGCCAACTGCTGTCAAATGCAGAGTGTAAACAATGGAAGTGTTTTCTTCTGTCTTATTTGGGCATGATTACTTGAGACGCTTTTTGTAGTGATAATACTTTTAAGACAGGCAGAAAGGTGTCATTCTTTATTTCTTTTCTTGATGATGGCGTCTCTTTAATGCGATTAAGAACCACTAATGAGCTGATTGACCAGCATCATGTTTTCTGCTCCTAGTGCACTAGGCTTCATTTCCACTCCCAGCTTGGCTGTCATGTTTTTTTTTTCAGTCATTTTCCTTTTCTTGTGTGTTCCAGAAGATAAATTTCCTTTCTATGTGCAATTACAAGCTAAAGTTTATTTTCAGGAGACTTCATACAAGCCAGGGGACTGATTCTCATTTGCACTTGAGCCTTGTTGCTTGGCTCCAGTAACACAATAGAGTGGGAAAGTGAGTAAATACAAAGAGTATCACACAGTGGCACACTTTATGGCCTTTTGCACCGCACCCTGTGATTCTTATAAAGGAGCCTCACATTTAGTAAGCATCTGGTGCCTGGTGTTCTTGTTCTCTTTCTTTATGTCTTCATTTCATAATAATGCTACTTAAAAAGCCATGTAGGAGGTGCCAGAAAAGTCCATGATAACCCACTTGTAAGGAGGAAATGAGCATAGTGAACTTAAAAGGGAGGAGGAGAAAAAGGAAAGGTTGCCTAGATGCAGTCTGGGGGAGAATAACTCTGAATTTTATATAAAATCAGAGATTCCAGATCACAATAATCATATAATTTTAATTTCCTGAAAAGGTATCTTTGGGCTAGGTTTTTAACATGCTAGGGATGCGTAAGACCCATCTAGATGCCTGTTGGCATTTTCAGTACCACCTGGGCACTAAAACTCTCTGAATCAGCCTCTTAGATAGCTGAACTATGTAAAGTTTAGCTCCTAATGCTTGTGGTGATCTCAAAAAAAATGTTTTGACTTGTATAGCCGTCACAACCCTCACCCTCATTGGTTATGGCTGTCATTTGTTTTGTCACAGTGTTATTGCTGGTTTCACAGTGACTGATAAAGTGAATAAGAACATGATGCCACCTTGACGCAAGATTTCCTGTAAAATGTTTTAGAACAGAGTCAGTGAGTCTGAATATTTCCAGAAAGTCATATTATCCCCACAAAGAAAAAGTTTTGCTGCCATGCTCAACAGGTGAGCGGGTTAGAAAAAGGTGGTCCAGCAAGTGACTCTGTCATCCAGCGACACCAAATCATACAAAGGCATGAGGGAAAGCAAACCCTGTGAATTGCCTCAGCTATGTGCTGTGTGTAGATGCTGAACCAAATAATTCAGCCATGATCCTAGGTCAGCTGAGGTGGAAATGAGTGGCTGTGTGCTTTTGTAGTGACACAAAGCAACCGTGAGCAAAACTGGGCAAGCTTGGAAAACGCATACTTAGATGATGAGGTTAATATTTTTTTAATTGTTCAGCCATGGCCAAGCACTGTGGTCCACCAGTTTGCCAGCAGCCCACTTCTACTGCTGCAAAGAGGTTCTCAGACGTCGTTTTTTTTCCAGGAAAAGCATCTCCGTATGTGCAGCCTCCCTCACTGCGCTAACTTTCTAAGCAAGAGCTGAATCCTCAAATTACTTTTGTTTTTATTTTGAGAGGCCAAATTTCCTTTTGCAGGTTCCTTGGGAGATGTGTGAGTCAGTGGTGAGACTCAGTTCCTGCACTGCCTCAGTGCAGAGCTGAACATCCAGAGAGAACTGTGCATGCAGTTGAATGTATAAGTGTTATAACCCTCGTCTTTTATTGTGTTTAAGGATTTTTCTTGCGGGAGGAGAAAGATGAAATCAAGCCATTTCCAAATGAGACGTGTGCACTAATGGCACATGAGACCTTTCATAGTGCATTTGGTGCTACAGCCAAAATTTTAAATCTTTTGCAGATGTGGAAATTGTTGGAAGCCTTACTTGATTATTGCCTTACGATGCTCTGCACAAAAGTCTCTTCAAAGGCTCAACGATCAAGTTACTTGCTTAGATTTTCCTCTTTTGCTAGATCATCTTATTCTCTGCTGCTGCTGACAGATTCACACTGTAGTCTAAAACGTGGTGCAGCTTGAAAAGAGACTGTGAAAACATGGCAGGACAACACAGGGTTAACTTTCCCTGGGGAACGAACTAGCTATTATTTGTGAAAGGGCAGGGCCTGATTTTCATTTATGTGGAAGCTCCTGTGTATAGCTCTGGTAGTCAAAAGAAGCACAATTTAAACAAGAATCAGGATGTTTACAGTCATAATGGTTTTATACATACAAACAATTACAACAGGTAATTTATACATCTAAACATAAAATTTATACAAATAAAAAACTACAACAGGTTTAGCACAAGCCATGAATTGCCAAGCTGCAACATCCAGCTCTTGTTTGACGCAAAGATTAGAAGTAACTTAAATGGTTATTGGTAACCACAAGTATTAAGAAATCATGGGCCAGACCTCCAAAATCTCAAGGCTGTTCTTAAAACATTGTGATCTGAAAGTGTTCATTTGATATTTTAAAGAGTGGTTCGTCTGAGTTCACTTCATGTACCTTCTGCCTTTTTAGGCCACAGAAATCACAAAGTGCAGGCTTTTTTTTTTTTTTTTTTTTTTTTGATAAACAGAAGCTGAGATTTGGTTGTATATTTATAGGACTACAAGGCCCGTGACTCTTAAGATGGCATGAAGTATCATGAGACTTGTGGTATGTGCCTTCAAGAGTTGGCAAGACTGTAAAGAACTTATTTTTATTGCCAGACTGGTTAAGAGATGACTCTGGTTATATGGGAAGAGCAGAACCTACTCAGTAAGGCAGGGCGCTTTTCATAACAAAACATTTCACTATGTTTATGCTTGTAAAATGCAACAAGCAGCAAAGAAAATGTAGGTCAAGTGAGGTTCGTAGCAAGGCAAGTGAACAGTTTTCATCTTAAAGATGCAGCTTAGGTGATGTTAAGTAGTGTTTTCTTTCGCTAAGTGTAAAACTGCATCCCTGGCAGGTATTCACTGCCGAACAGAAAGGCGACATGCAAGCCTTATGTTAGGGACTGAAACATCTGTTGTTCTTACTCTTTCCCTGAATGTTAGTTAAGCTTCAGAGAGACCCTCCTCTTTCCTTGTTTAAGCATAACTTACTGTTTATAGCACAGTAAAAAGCTGCACGGCACTTTGGGGAAAAGAGCTGCTGTGCATGAATAGAGGTACAAGAGTCTCAAACCAATTTTGCAGCATTACGCTTCTGTGTGTAGCAGACTGCCTAAGACAGTCCGGTGCACAAAGTCTTCAAAAAGAAGGTCTTTAAAAGTATGCATTAGCTTGTGCTGTGTGCTGCCCTTGGGTGCAAGACGCATTGTCGCCTGAGTGCTTCCACCGTCGCTCGCCTGCTCTGCTTCAAACAACCTCGTAGCAGCAGAGTAAGCATCAGTTTTGGGAGAGGCTTCACAGAGCCGGGCTGGCGACCCAGCATCTCTGAAGCAAGGGCAAGACGAGAGAGTTATCCCAAATGGGTTTATATGTGCCTTCGAGGAAGAGAAGATTCGGGTCTAGGAGGAGTAAACCTCAAAACAGAGAGGGAAGCATGAAGTGTCGGGATGTTGCGAGTGCCCAAATGTCTCTCCTTGGCTCTGTGTCTAACCTGCGGGTATATTTTTCATCTTTTCTTCTGCATCACCAAGAGAATTACACATCAAATTCCACCTCCAGGGTCACATCGCACTTGCATTAACGCCAGGAAGACAAAGAAATGCTTTAGGTCTTCCTGAGGGCTGCATCGCAGCGATGATGCAGAAGAGGAGAAAACCCAGTGTGATTTGCAGGTCTGAACAGGGCTGATGTCAAAAACGAAAATACCTTTACTCGTAAAACGTGCATGCGTGAGGCATGCATACCCTGCATTACCCATGCGGTCAGAAGGAGTTTTCTCTTCTGGATGGATTTCCCTGTTTTCTGATGCATCGCGTTAATAAAATCAAAATGTGGCTTCTGAAACCGCCTGCAGACCCCCAGTACGAGTCTGAACCGCAAGTACACCACCCGGTGTACTTTGACAGATGTTTACAACATATCACCTTATAAAATCAGGTGGAAAGGCCAGCATGAATTCCTGTTAATGCTTTTTCTTTCGTGTATTGCTGTTGGCTTTTCAGCACGTGTGGAGTGAAAGTGAGGACTGCTTACCTTTCCTGCAGCTCGCACAGGATTACATCTCCTCCTGTGGGAAAAAGACACTCCATGAAATATTGGAAAAAGTCTTCAAATCCTTCAGACCTGTAAGTGCCTCTTTTTTACTTCTAAACATTGACAGTTACCTGTGACTTTTCATAGGATAGCACTGGATGGAGCAAGGTGGTTTTTCTTCTGCAGGGACTTACACCTCTAGCCTGGGCACAGAGGTGTTAGCACATGAGCTGCTGTCAGGCAATTGGAAATGGCTTCTCGGAAGCCAGCTGCCTTTTTATTTCTATCTCTGTGTTTTGAGAGGATGGGATTCCTGCATGGGGTGGGAGGCCAACTGGTGCGGCAGCCCCAGCTGCGTGGGGTCTCCTGTCCTGCTGATGCAGCACTGACTCTGAGCAACGGGATGCGAGTCAGCGCCACGGGACTCTGCGGCAGAATTGTTTCCTGGCACTAGAATTGGAGAGTTTTGCAAGGATCTGAGTAGCAAGAGTAAACCTCTGGGAAACTGGAAATACGGTTTCTCCTCAGAGTGGTTGGTTTTATTTTCAGATTGGCTTTTTTTTTTTCCCCAAAGTGGTCCAGATTTTGCTGTTAGCATGGTTGCTGCTTGGTATTTACAAACGCCAGTTTGGTCAGTGCTGGAGAAGAAGTTGGAGCAGAAGCTGGGTTTTGTGGGGAGGGGACACGTATTTTTCTGTTTTGCTGCTACTCAGCTTTCTGTGTCCTTGTTTAATGCTAAGATTTGGGTCAAAGCCTGGGGTGAGGTGACTTAGGCTGGCCGTTGTCCTTCACTTTTGCCAAATTCTTCCATTTCACAACCTCTCCTTTTGAGTGCCTCGGTCTGAGTAAGGGGCTGGTGCAAAGCAGAGCAGAAGTTTGTTGCCAGAGCCGTGCTCTCGTGGTGTCCATGGGAAAGCTGACTGATGGACGTTTTTGTACTCAACTGAAAACATAGACAGTGTTCTCTCCTCTCTTTTTCTGGCTGACTAATTGAGAAGACTGAAAATGTATCCCAAGTATTTAGAGCAAAAGCAAGGGCCTGGAGCGCTGATACGAAAACGCTGGCCTTCCCTGTGTTACACCCTTGCATTGCCTTGCCACGGATCGCTGCAGCTGGTTGACATAAAAGAGCATCGTTTTAAAGAATCCTTTGAGAGACTAGAAATAAATAGAACAGATGCACACTTTTCTTAGAAAGGACTGGAAATCTGATCCATCAGTACAGCTGCTTGTAATCGTGAAAACATACAAAATATAAATATGTTTCCCAGAACGATATTCAGCTCTTGGATCTTCATAGCCATTTTCTCCCGCTCAGAAAAGCTATGTCTTTGAGGAGAAACTTCCATTGGTTTAACTAAAGAGGTCTTCAAAAAGATTTAATTAAATTGGTACAGATCACTTATTTCATTTAAACCACATTTATTTCAGCATAGCCTAAGTTGCTGAGAAATTGGCCTCAGTCAGACCAGGTTAGGCTACTCTTCAGAATAAAAAAGGTCCAAAGCAAGGGGAACCATTATGCTCGTTTGGTCTGGGCCCTTCGTTAATACATCACATTCCAGCCCCGGATTCCTACCACCGAGCACCTGAATTGTGGTTGAGCTGGAGCATGTCTTTTCCAAAGACAGCCAGCCTTCATTATGCTTTTGTCTGCTGAAGAACAGTGTCCTGAATTGTCAGAGCCCTCTTGCAGACTGAATCAAGTACCTCTTCATTTTCTTTTGGATGTACCAGAGAGATTAAATTTCTCAGATTTCTCAGTATTGAGCAATTTGCATCAGTGTAGAAAAACTGAGTTTATAATTTGAGGTATGTTTGTGTGTAGACAAGTCTAATAAGGAATGTATTGACATTTTCCCCTTATTGTAATTACTGAAACCAGCACATGTAGGGTAGGACAGATTTTAAAAAATGAAGGGTGTTACAATAGATGTATGGAAACAGTTATTTTACACCCTCAGGCCTTTGCCAGAGCAAAACCACTTTTCATCAGTATGGGGAAATTATTTCCTTGGCATTACTTTGGGCTGTTCCCCATCCTTTCTCTGCTGCACCTGTTTTGCTAATGAAACGACCTCGCTGTGAGCATGGAGGTAACAGTGCATTTGCAGGGCGTTTCTTCTTCATTATCCCAACCAAGTCTGCTGTTGGAGACGGGTCGGCAAATTTCAGTTTGAAAAATGGCAGTTCAGGAAAAACTGGTTCTGAAGGTCGTACTGGGCTCTTCTGAAGTGTCTGATGGTTCTGGCTACTCAGTCTGAGATAGTGAGGAGAGGAGAGGCTTTTAGCATGTGCTTGATAAGGACCTTCTGAAAGTCTTTTCCATTTTAGTATTTCCAGCAGGGCATGCAAGATTATTAAACAGTTTTGAAAGTCTTTATCGAGGTCCTTCAAAGATAAATGTTTAGGAGGAGACCCCAGTGGTGCATCTGCAGCTCTCCGTGCCCTCGTGCACAGCACAAGCACCTGCCCTCCCCTAACCAAAGGCTCCCAGACCGATTTTCGCTCAGCAACTCATCTCAGCCCTGCTCCACACATTCGTGGCAACAGCCCAGCTGTGTCTCCGCAGGCTTACCCTGGGGCTGCGGCATGGGAAGGGACTGGCTGCTCTTTGGAGGCGGTGAGAGCAGGGATGCCCAGTGGTTAGCATCCCTCTTAGTGAGAGACAGAGACTTCCCTCTGCTCGCTGCTGTTCCCTGGGTGCAGGAGGCAATGAGGGCAGTCTGGGGGCTGCTCACCAGGCCTCACTGCTCTCAGGCAGTTTTATGGGCATAAACACAGTGCCAGGGCAGGATATCTATTTAGACAAGGCTTTTAAAGTGTTGGTTGACCTGTGACAGCTACATTACTCCTTTAAATCCTGCTGTAGACAAGATCAAGCTGTTTCTTTACTTAAGATGGTGGCAGCATTTTATCTCTGCCCATTACCGGCTTCTTGGGTCCGTTTCTAGAAAACTCAGTGATTTGCCTCATTGTCCACTTATTCAGGGAGCATCTGAAAGTGCCAGGCACCACCCAGATGCATAAAGTGATACCAACAGCACTGAGCTCAAATTCCACTATTTGCCTCAGAGCATCCCAGTCCTCTGACGCCCTTGTCTCTCTGGTGCTGGAGAGGTCTGTGCTGGTGCCCTTCACACCAGGCTTCGACAGAACCACGTTATCTCTAGTGTAGCATCGTGTAGACCGCGAAAGCTCAGTCTTGTATTTGGTTTATTTTTCAGTGTGCTTCTATGTCAGCTTTTGGTAGGAGGCAATGTCACTCTGCTCTTGTGACTTGAAAACTGCTAGATTATTTGTATAAAATCAGGGCACTTTGAAAGAGTTAAGAAAGACAGACAAATGAAAAATAAAAAATGCCTGAGCGACATCAGACCTACTGGCAGAGTTTGCAGAGAACCAAAACATGAGTCGTACAATTCAGCAGCAAATTCCAGGGCTCCCACATTGAGCTTGCCTTCAGCCTAAAAAACCTACATCTGAAGTGGGGAGTCCGTGGTGTAAAAGCCATTTATCCCATATTCATTGAATTCATACACATCTCTCTGACCTCTCTTTTTCCACCAGATGGGTAGTTTGGCCGGCAGGAATAAACAGATGTAGTTCAGGTAGTACTGCTGCTGGTTGTTCTCCCTCCTCACCACCCTCCTGTCCTCTTTCTCTCCACACGTCTCCACCTGGCAGTTTTGTTCCCCTTGGCTATTTGGCTGATGGATCAGCTCTGTCTTTCTACGCTCCTTTCCTGTTTTACCTCTTTCCTCCTTGTTTTTGCTCTCCGTTGAAGTCCTTTCTAGTCTGCCACGTAGCTCATACTTTAATATATGAAGCAGGTATGGACTAGAAGCAGAAACTAGTGTGTTTGGAAGAAGACAAGGTGGGAGTCGGTCTAGAGTCAACTCAAACCACCTTCATCCTCTTACTTTGTCTTCTTCTTTTATACACCCTCCTTCTGCTTTGACCTAGCATTGGTAGAGCTCCCTACGCTTTGGACCCTGATTATCCCTCTTTGGGGTCAAGGTATGGGCTGATTCGTCACTGCAGTCCAGAGAGCAGTAAGGGATTAATGGCGGTGAGGGACCATAGTCCTGTGGGAAGCATGAGATGTGACCCCTAAAAGCAGGACCTGCATGGTTGAAGTCCTCGGTGCCTTGGAAGATCCTAAAGTGTCCGTGAGAGAATAAAACTGCGCCTCTCTTGGAGGAACATCCCATTCCCATCCTTCCTACTCTCTGTAAAACGCTAATGTCGGCAGCATCGCTCCTTGATTTATGCTGTGCCAAGGCAAGGGGAGCTGGGTTTCCAGAGGATGAAGGGAGAGGATGTGTGAAGAGCAGGACGTGCTCCCCATCCTTCGGGATCGTGCATGTCTTTGCAGTTCTTGTGTATGTTGCATTTTCCGTGCTAGTTTTGCATGGGAAATACTTACGGTATCCCATGAAGTGAAGACTCATGTGGCTCGTTTCCCTGCAAATCGAGGAGGAATTCTAACCAGAGCTGGGCAAAAACAATGCGATCAAAGCTCTTTCTGCCGGGTGATACAAACGGAGCAGTACAACCCTCACGTTTAATTTGAAGACACCGAATCCGTTTAGCGAAAATAATACTGGTGGATAAGGAAGTCTAGAGGCCTTGCTTCTGCGTTTTAAAACCTGAGTGTTTTAGTTTTACCTTCAACACGAAACAAAACCCCCGGAAAATGAACGAAGTAGTCTCACGTTCAGTTAAGCATTTTACTTTAAAAATATATGTGCATAGGAATATTTACTCTTTGTTCTGCTCAGAAAACAAGAACATTTTCAGCTTGAAGTCTCTCCCTAAGTATTTTTAAAATGCGGAGGAGGGGGTTTAGTCAGCAAATTCTCCTTCCGTTTCCCTGCCAAACAAACCCTGCAACTAAAAAGCTGGTTTTCTCCCAGTGGCGGTGAGGAATACAAGCTTTATAGGACCCAGAGGCTAATTCTGTGCATTGTCTTCCTACCCACTGAATAATTTTGAATGTTGATCACAGACTAAATTAGTTTAGGTCCCTAAAAATCTGCCTCGTCACAGCCTTCTCATTTTCATGCTACCATGTAGCAAGTGTAGCTCTCCTCCCGTTTTTTCTGGGTTTTGCCTCTTTTGGGAGCTAACAGCTGCGTCACTCTCCAAACAGGGTGTTGCATGCATCTGCACTGCTCTTCCAACCCGAGGAAGGAAGCTAAATACATGGTATTCCCAATAATGCCTGGCATGTGATTTTGCTTTGTGGATATTAATAGCTGCTAGTGTAGGATTCTAGTGTGAGATTTCCACAAAAGATGCATTATTTTGGCTATTATTTGGTTTATCTGTCTTCCTGACTTCTGTTGGTTTGGCAGCCTTTTGGAGGAGAGGGGAAAAGTTCAAGCATTGCTGTTCGCTGCTTTGCCTGTAGCAAACAAGTGCCTATACATTGATTGGAGCCATCAGGTGGAGGCATTCAGGCATTGTCCAAGGAAGACGAGTTGGCCATTCTTCACAAGCCCAAATCTAATTTGCAGAGATTTAAAGGGGCTCAGGCAATTTTGTGTTGAATTTGCAGTATTTCTCACTGCAAGGGCTTCACCCAGTATGCAGGGCTTCGTCTGCTGTGATGGAGCGAAGGGTTCAAGAGAAACACTTAGCATGGTGAGATCATTAGGTTTTTAGGGACTCCGTGCTTACTCCATGCTAGCCAGTTCTGCATGCGGATGCTTTCTCCTTCGACTTTTATAGGGTTACCGAACACAATCTTAAACCGAGATAACTACTGCTACAGTCTTCTTATGGTTCTTTCTGAATTTAAACCACTGCCAAGTCTAGACACTCAACAGTTTGTGATATGACCTTAGGGAAGAACGCCAAGCTTTTTGCAAGTGCTTTGCTTTGGTTTTATTTATCTTCTGGTTTCTGAGCACTTAATTTGGTGTGAGGATGCATTTTGAAGTCTTTCTCTAGCACAGGAGGGAGAAAAAGAGAGTCGAGATCGTTATGCAATACTGTTATTCCAGGATTTGAGATTTTCAAGAAGCGGAGCCTAGGTATTGTGTGAAGATTTGCAGCGAAGATGCACGAGTGGGTAATTCGCTACTACATAATATTTTCTCTTCTTTGTAGTTACTTGGGCTTCCAGATGTTGATGATGATGCATTTGAAGAATATAATGCAGACGTGGAAGAAGAGGAACCAGAAGCCGATCACCAACAGATGGGTGTCAGTCAGCAGTGATTTTCTGAGAAGCTAAAAAAATTCGGAAGCCTTTGGTACCAGGTGGGGTCAGGTGGTCCCACGTTAGCCTGTTCGATTTAGCACATCACATGGGGATATCTGGCTCCCAGGATAAAAGTTATACAAAATGGTTTAAAAAAAATAATAAGAATAATATTCTGTGATGAGCTTTGCTAAGAAGTGACCTGAATTTTGCTCCTGCTTCAGTGGGTTTTCTATGGAGTTGTCTTGGTAGCATTCTGCCGTTATCAGTCTAGAAGTAGTTTTGTCGCTGACTTGTCTCTTCGATTTGTGTTCGAGAGTAGCGTTCGCTGACATGAGCGTAGAGTACTGAGGACGTAGGAAGCATGTGGTGAGAGTGCCAAGTCCTCACCGGTGACCTTTCTGAGGAAACTAGCGCAGAGAGCAAACGCCACCTGCACTTTTCTTTTTAGTTCAACAGCTATGGATTTTGACAAAGTACCAAACTTGGAGAGATTTCTCCTGAAAAACACTAGTTTAACAGTGGTCGGTGCTGCAGAAGTGCACACGAAGGCTTAACAAAAATAGCAGGAAGTGGGATATCTAGGGGAGTATCGGTGTCAGACGTATTAACGTTGTTTTACTGACACCTGAGTTTACACATGCTGATTAATAACTGGGAGTAATTTCTATCAGCAGTACACATTATAGCCAACCCTCATACTCCAATGTGATTTGATCCAAAGCCAGATGCCGCTTTCGTACAAATCAACTAAAAAATAGCCATTGCCTGTCCCACTTCTGCATGACAACCAACTTTAAGCTTCGCTGTTTTTAGTACACTGCTAAATTATTACTCAAACCTCGCGGCCTCATCAATTAAAGTGCAACTTAACTTTGAAGCCATAAGGGTATAAACCAGCACCTGGCTCTTAAAATTATGCTGGACCTGTTCCTCTCCCTGGGCCTTTGGGCTAGTCCAGGCATTTACACCTTGTTGGAGAGGAGCTAAAATACTACTGCTTTGGCTGATAAAAAAGCTAGTGAGGTTTTACTTGCCTGGGGACATGCTCTCCAGAGGAGTTTAGTGGGGTCTCGGTATAAAGGAGAAGACCTCTTGTATTTTATACCTATTTTGCTTAGATTTAAGTGACTCGGAAGAGTGCCAGACTGTGAAGATGCAAGGTTTCTTTATTTACTTGCCTTTTGTACTGAAAAGCAAAGGGATTCTGATACAGCTGTTTTCCACAATCGAGCAAAATGTTTCTAAATTTACTCCTCTTTTACAATTTTTTTAAAATTGTGAAATGAAGGTCACATGCTTCAAAAGCCCGTTTATACAGAATTAGCTTTATAAAAACAAAACATGAGCGAAGAGAAAATGCTTGGACAACTCCCAGAAACAACTCACACCATTTTGAAAACCCTGTTGTTGGCGATGTCTCCTTTTCACTGGGTTTTTTAAAGACTTTTTTTCTCAAGGTTACTTAAGAGAGCAAGTTTTCTTGGTGGTTTACATTTCTGATGATGGCTTGAGAGAATCATAGCACTTGATTTTTCCAATGTGGGGCAAAGATCTTACGTAACTGGGACAATATGTGGTACCTGAGTATGCACAAAAGTGTCTGCAACACTGTAAAAGTCAGAGTTTAAGAATATAAAAAAAAAGGAAGAGAAACAGAGCTTAATGAAACTTTGTACATTCTTTTGGCATGCAGGCATAAACATGGTAGTCGCAACACATTTTCTATGGACTAGTGACGTGAGAACTGTGGCAGTTCATTGTATAACACTGTACAGCAGCAATAGGCTTTTTGCTTACTAAAATAAAGTGTAAGACCAGTGGTTTCCATCCCTGCTTTAAGTCCGTAAGTTTTTCTTTCATCTCCAGCTAAAACAGATGCCATAACCTTAAGCAGAGCCTTCTTGCTTCGGGAGAACATTTCTCTTTGTAGCATCCAACCCTTTGGTTGCGGTTTGCACGAGTAGATCTTTTGAGGCTGACTTTCCTCTGCTGTAACGTAATGCAAGACATTATTGCGGTAGCGCAAGCTGGAGGCAAAGTCCTGCCATTCAGGTTTGCTAGCCGCTTGCACCCATTTTGCTTAGGTGGAGGTGGCTGGCACCCACGCACGCGTGCACGCACCCACACGCACACCTGCACAAGCCCCAGGCACGGCTGGGAAATAACCCTCCGCCTTTTTACAGACAGGCAATTTTCCAGCCAGATCAGTCCCACCGTCTGGTTCAGGGCACGGCTGCACAGACACGTGTCGGCACAACAGAGGGGAGGATGCAGGGGTGGGCATGGGTAGTAGCGGAGGTCCCGCAGCCCAAGGTGCCTCGCACCCCTTGTGCGGTGCCAGGGACCCGTGGCGGAGGTGCAGGCGCAGCCTGAACTGGCCGAAGTGCTGTGAAGGGTTGACTCCACGAGGCTCAATGGAGAATTGGGCTCTGGGCGGCAGCGGGATGGGCAGGAGTTCATGAAATGATAAAAGACCGTAAGATCCAGTGCTTGTAATTGCATACAGGAGGTTGTAACATGTACTGCACTCCGCTGCCTTTCCCTGCATATTGACTGAACCGTTGACGAGCAGTTGAGAGTTAATATGGTTGCAAGCAAACATAACGCTGTAAACTATGTAGATATGTTATTTTCTGTATTCACTAATTCACTTTTTTTCTCGAATGCCGTATGCCATTTGGGTGACTTCCACGCCAGACTCCAAGTGCTGGACAGCTGGGGAGCCATCCTGCAGCTCTCACCCCTGCAGAATTCCCACTGAAGCCAGCAATGTTTTGTTCAAGCGGGACCTGCAGGACTGGGCACTCCAGGAGATGCGTGAGGCTTGGTCCTGCGGGGAGCCGAGCGCTCTTGTCCCCTCTCGCTTTGCTGGGAGACGAATGTGTTGAGCCCTGCTGCTGAACTGAAGCATGACCAGGCAGCACTGAGAATAAACTGGAATTTTATACGTAGAAAATTTAATTTACGTGTGTATTGAATGTGAATGAGCATTAATATAGAATGTATTTTATCAAAAAATATTGATTGCTTACTTTGACCAAATACATTTCTGTATTGCTGTGTTACTTGTTCCATATTTCCCAAACGATGCAAGAGATGTGGAATCGGTTTAGTTGTATTACAAAGTATTTTTATATTTTATTTGTATTTTATTTTTCCCTGTTGTGGTCTAACCCCAGCCAGCAACTAAGTCCCACACAGCCGCTCGCTCACTCCCAGCTCAGTGGGATGGGGAGAGAATCAGAAGAGTAAAAGTGATAAAACTCATGGGTTGAGATAAAGACAGTTCAATAGGTAAAGCAAAAGCCTCACATGCAAGCAAAGCAAACCAAGGAATTAATTCACTGCTTCCCATGGACGGGCAGGTGTTCAACCATCTCCAGAAAAGCAGGGCTCCATCACATGTATCATTTAGTTGGGAAGACAAAGGCCATCACTCCAAACATTCTCCCCTTCCTTCTTCCCCCAGCTTTATATGCCGAGCATGATGTCTTATGGTATGGGATATCCCTTTGGTCAGTTGGGGTCAGCTGTCCTGGATGTGTCCCCTCCCAACTTCTTGTGCACCCCCAGCCTACTCGCTGGTGGGATGCGGTGAGAAGCAGAAAAGGCCTTGGCTGTGTGAAAGCTCTGCTTGGCAGTAACGAAAACATCTCTGCATTACCAACACTGTTTTCAGCACAAATCCAAAACACAGCTCCATACCAGCTTCTGTGAAGAAAATTAACTCTATTCCTGCCAAAACCAGCACATTCCCTCACTCCCAGCACATACTGAGGTTAGCAGCCATTCAGTAATTAACTGGGGTAGCATGACCCAGTGGCTCGGCTGCTAGACCAAGACATGAGATTTGCGAATGTGCATAGATGCTTGCAAGCCTGGGGACTTGGTGGGAAAATATGGGTTCAGAGCTCTGCCATTGCCTTGCCCTGAGCTTTGGGTGGATATCAGCGGCTGGGAATTTGAGGCAGGCCTCTAGCTCTGCGTCCAGGCCTCCATGAAATTCAGTGAGAGCAGGGTAACTCCTTTGAAAGTCCCACCTTAAGCCTTTTGTAAAAGGGGCCATTAGTAGTATTTGCCCACCAGTGTATAAAGTGCTTTTAGATCTGTGGGTGAAAAGGGAGAGCATTATGCATCTCCCTCTCTATGCATCATCATTGCCTGTCCTCAAAGCAAACCATTAGTGAAAGGACACAGAAGAGTCTCCCTTCTCCTCTCTTGCCCTGCTCTCATAGGCATTTCATGCTCTAGCTAAATATAAATAGACTGGAGCAGAGCCTCTTGCAGAACTGGCACTTTCTGAAGTGAGTTGCATGAGTGCAGTGAGCAGAGTGCTGCTTGAGGGATGAGAAATACATGGGATGCCAGAGGGAAGAGCAGATTTCAGAAACGTGACAACTGGTTTGGTTGGCAGGGGCAAGAGTGAGGAGAGCCCCTTCCAGAGAGATGCTGGCTTTTCTGAGACGACCCAAACCGTCCTGCCATCCCGCCTATATCTGTGTGTTGAACCTCTGCAGTTTATAAAAACACTGCTCTGGGCATTACTGGGGCCTTGAGCTCAGTCATGTTTTTCCATTAGCATCCTGCCTGATGAATGCATTGAGATGGTTGAGAGAGGAGGGGATGGAGAAAGGCAAACTAAAAATCCTCCTTTCTTCCTCAGCATAATTATTTATGACATTGTGTGAGTAGGTAGGAGCGGCAGTCAGGGAGCACAAAGCTGCTTTATTAGGTACACAGTAAAACCTCTTAAAAGGACTTGCTCATGAGGGAAAAAATCGGCAAACTGTTTCCTTGCAAAAATGAGAGGAACAGCACACCCCTGAACACGATCACCAGAACCATACCAGACTTCTCCAGCTCCACCTCCTGCCCTGCTCTAGGTTGTTCTCCAGACAGTTTCCCTCTGGGCATAGTGCTGAAAGTATCATGCTTGTGAGAATGCGACATCGATGAGATTAGCCCATAGAATTACTTTTCCTGCACCAGTGACCTGCACGCTAGCTGCTGCGTT